GCTACTGCGCCTCTGAGTGGCGCAAACTTTGCGCTCTCTCACTCGTACAGTCAAAGTCAAATAAACATGCTAATTAAAAGGCAGGCGGCCTCAACAAAAAGCAAAAAAACAAAAAAAAAACGAAAACGAACAGAGCCAAAACCAAAAAATTTGACCCAATTTATAGACACAGCACAATGGGCGTGGCGCAAATCAGCTAGCATGCGAATTCCTTTGTAATTCTTGCGAAATTCATTCATCAGCTCCACATTTGACAGCCCATACGCAGACAATGCAACTGATTTATTGATTGAGGGCATTGAGTTATTGAATGTTTGGTTAGCGGACAGCAGAATAGCGAACAGCGGGCGAGATGCCCTAAGAGACACTTTTCTATGTCTGTCTATTGACAGGCAAATCTGTATATGTGAGTCTGGCGATCATAATTTTGAGTTGACCTGAGATATTTATTTGGATATTACCGAAAGCCATTCACATTTGATAAACGTTTCATAGTAATAAAGCTAAGCTAAATTATTATTTTACAAACACAGTAGGAATAAGTTTTGAATTAAAGTTACAGTTTTTAAGTTAAGTTAAGATCATTTTTATGGGGTTTTTATATAAGTTTTCCCCCCGTACCTATGTTAAATTCTACCAATTCAAAGTTCACTGTATAAAGGATAATGTGTCCCGTACACTTGAATTTAAAATATGTAAAACACAACAGTTTTATATACCATAAATTGATTAAAATAAATAAATAAAGAGCTAAGTTTGTCAAGCAAAATAATATGATGGAAATTATGATTAATATACCCTTTAAATAAATAAATACCTCTCAATTTTAAATAATATTTCACACAAATTTGCAAACTTTACAATTTCGCTAAAAACAATTGGATTTATAAGCCTTTTAAATGAAATGCACTAAATGCAGTAGAGTGCATTAGAGTTCAGGATAATACTGTTTGCCACGATTCGCAAGCGAATGAATTGCTTTCGTTTTCGTTTTCGTTTCCATTTACAGTTTCAATTTCAGTCTCAGTTTCAGTTTCAGTGATGGCAATCTAAATGTGGCTAATGAATGTCATTAGTTCGACGGGAAATGCAACGTCACACCTGGGACTCGCAAGTCGATTGAAATCGGATTAATAAATGGGCGAGGCGCTGAAAAATTCAATTAGGCAACGGTGGCTGTCGCGTCGGGGCTGGCAGCTTAACTACCTGCAATTTTTCTGGCTTGAATGCAATTACTTATTTTGGCCCATCTGGGCCCGGCTAGCTGCTAGCTGCTAGCCGCTGACAAAACGAACGAACACTTGGCCCATTGCAGTTGCGGCTACAGCTGCAGCTGCAGCTCATTTTTAAGGCAGACATGTCGTGGTCTCGGCAATTGGCATTGCCGTAAGAGAGCTATTGATTTATGTCTGCAGCAGTTCAATTGACATGTGTGCAGGGCTTCAATAGCAGCAACGGCCAAAGTGGCCCAATGCAGTCCTTCAACGAGCTCGGCCAAGTGCAACACGAGTGCACTGTTGTTCGCTTTAAGAGCAGTGCATCGTTTGTAAGTTCTTGAAATGAGTTTGCAATTTGTAAACTCAATGCCAGAGACAGTCTGAAGAATGCATTAAATGGAGAAGGAAATCTTTGGCACTGAAGTGCAGAAGAAGCATCAGTGAAACTCTCACTGCAAATGGGAGTCAAAAATAATTTATTATTAAATAAGCATGAGCAAGGAATTGAGGACCATCTTAATACTTGACTTTCAATTACAAACCGAAGGGGATCAGAGCAAAGAAGATGAATAAGATGAATTTGTTAGTTGAAAGCTCCTCATTGATTAAGTTAGATATGGAGTGCAGTATAGCTAGATCCATGTAGATTAAACATTTTGAAAGAAAATAAAGCTCAGCTAGAGTTATCATCTATGCAGCTCAATTGCCTAGTTCGAAGTATGCAACTTTTCGCATTAGGTATACATTTATGTACATATATCATAATCATAATCTCAGCACAGATTTCTGTAAGGCAAGCTGAAGCACAGAAGATCGCTTATTACTCGAGTCACAGAGCCGAAGTAAAAAACTTTTCAAATCATACGCAATTGCTGCTATCAATTCGAAATCAGTTGGCTAATGAATCTGCTGCTCTCGGGCCTCGAAGGTGGAGGGGGCGGTCTTATGCGACTGCTGCAATCAACGGAGTTCAGTATTAAGAAATTATCAGGCCGAAAAGTTGCACGCCAGCAAGGTAATTAGAGGCCATGCAAAACTAGGGCTGGTGGCAAAAATATGAAATGAAATTGCTCACCAAGGCAGACTGTGTGCAAATATCCATACATACATACATACATATGTATGTATATAGAGGGCTAGCCACGCCTGCAGCCATTTTTCCACTTGACTGGGGCTGTGCGTGCAACAATTGTGGCTGCAACTTGGCCATGCTGCCAGCCGCCACACGCAATGCAGCCGCAGGCAAAGCCACAGGCACAGCCACAGCCACAGCGAGAACCAGAGCCAGAGCCAGAGCCAGAGCCAGAGCCAGAGCAAAGGCAAAGGCAGCAAGCGGCTGGGGAATGAGTTCAAGGCTTTAGTGTGGCATTTTTTGTTTTTGCTGTTCGCCTTTAATTATGAAACACTCAACGCCAGTCAAGTGTGCGGCAATTGTTGTGCCAATGCTGAGGATGTAGCTGCTGTTGCTGCCACTGTTGCCACTGCCAGAGCCAATCAGGGGCGAGTGGCAAAAGTTTTTGGCCAAAGTCAAGACATTGCTTTATTGCCCAGGCATTTGAGTTAATGCGCCACGTGGCCCAGCTGAAAGGTAAGCCATGGAGCCGGAGCACAAATTCTATGCCAGACAGGCCCATTATGCAGCAAATGCGTGTTAATAGCCAAGTTAAAACTTTTCTAGCTAATTATCGACAGTTGCCAGAAGACGAGTTTTGGTTTTGGCTTAGTTTTCGCTTTGAATGTCTGCAGTGCTCGGGCTGCCATTCGTGTTGCCCACTCGAAAAGTTAAGCGCCGATTTTCGAGTTTAGTAAAATTAAAGGTAAGCCTGCACTCACACACACACACACAGACCCTGTACAGTTTAAAGTAATTAAGCCATTTGGCTGCAGCGTATGCTGTAAATGGGGTTTACTCTGCACTACGTGGCGTATGCTTAATTTTATTTGTGCGCGTACTTAGGGCAAGAGATAAACTTAATTAGTGTTTGGGCTATATGAGCAAGTGTGGAATTTTTAAAAAATTAAATGGAATTATAGGTCATCTGGAAATTGATTCTTATTAATATCGTATTCCAATCTTACAAATAACTAATTAACCAAAGAAAAGAAAAATCAGAAACAGAATAATGATTGCTATTTATGTGGGCTTAATAGGATAATATCTTTTAATTGATTCTAAATGTGCCCACAGCGAAATCTATTAACCATTCCAGCACATTAGAGCTCCTCAGCTAATCGATTTATACTTTTTTTTTCGTTTTAATTTAATTCCAGTCAGCCACACTCTGATTACCTTCATGAAGGCGGTGTGGTTGGCTCAGCTATGTCTCTGCGAATGCCCATCATGTTAGTTCTTCGAGCGGGGCGGCTTCGTATCGTCGTCGGCTTCTATGAGACCACTAAATTTTTATGCAAAACGCCAAAGTGCTGAGCAAATAGCCGGGCAGCCATTTTAATTGAAAAATATTTGACCCACACTAAGAAGTTAGCTGCGTGTTTGACAGCCTGACGCGAATTTCGCAGCTACACTGTGAGAAATTCGGTGTGCAGCTAGCGCGCAGCGAACTCTAATTAATTAGAGGCACAGCGAGCGTGTTTTGTCGCTGTGTAAACTTCAATTAATATGCGGATGAAATCCGCTTAGACAAAGAGCGGACGCATCTGAGAAAATCGGTGCCAGAGCAGGAGGCAAGGCTGCCAATCAAGCGTGAAGTGGAAGGCAGCTGAGGCACTCCACCCCCAAGCACTTCCCTCGAACAGGCCATGCCCTTTGGTGATTTGCGACATTTTCTTATTTTCGCTGATGCTGACGTTGCTCCTGCTCCTGCTCCTGCTGCTGCTGCTGCTGTTGCTGTTGCTGTTGATGCTGATGTAAAGCCGACACTCGATTGAATGAGCCAACATTCAAGTACACTAATTAAGATCAAACGTTTCGCAGCCAAATGAGATTTTATCGACTAACGGCATTGTTGTGCCCCATGGAAATACACACACATACAAATGTACATATAGATATTTATATATATTCATATTAAAATCGCATAATGAAGTGTCAGCAAAACTGACACCGCTTCTCCCCCTCTCACTCCCTCTCTCTCTCGCTCTCTCTTATCAAAGATTAACGTCACAACTTAAGAGGCGAGTGTTCAATCAAAACCCTCGACTCTCAACTGTGTACATAGAGTACTTCCCCGTCCAGTCAGCCACGTCCTCTGCCCGTTCCCTGTTCCCCATGCCAACTCCATTTGCAGGCTTCATTGTTGCCAGTTTTCGGATGGGGCCATCAAAAGGTAAGCAGTGTCTTAAAGTGGCCGCTGGTTGCCCTGACAGCTCTGTAATTAATGAAATGTAGACACGTTCTGCGCTTCGTTCCTGCGCAGCTACACATAAACTAATTAAAGGTTCTTAATAAACTTAATGGCTTTCGCTACATAGCCGGCCGCCTCCACGCCTCCACGCCTCCTCGCCGACTCAATGCTCAGCTCCAATGAACCGTAGATTATGCACTACAATTGCCACACAGAGGTGGCTCGCACAATCAAACGCATTTTTGGGATTGTTTCATTAAATTAGATGATTTTTGCGTTTGAGAGTTGGCTTTGATGACGCGCTCAAAAGCAAATAACGCGTTTTCATTTCAGTAACTTGATGCTCGCACACCTGTGCCGTAATTAAATTGTGCTACTCTCAGATTCTAGTTTTATGCAGTATTAATTAACGGCAGTTCTATGGAACTAAAATGCAAAGATATTTAGTTACAATATTTAAAAAATACATATATTTGCAATTTAATTACAATCAGTATCGCAGTCAAATCATGCGAAACGACCGAACACCATCAATTTGCCCGTGAAGAGACGAGATCATACAATTTGATAAGAAGGCTTCTAAACTAGCTATTCACCCAGTGAATTTTGTGAGACCCATGAGTGGGCCTTGGCATTTGTTCTAGACCTTGAGGCTCGCGTCTTCACGTTTCTAGTCTTCGCACCCACAACCTTTCTGATCCGGCCTAACCGGGTCGGGCCTAGCCGGCTCCTCGCATTCATCGTATGTATCGGGCACATTGCATGGATCCTCTTCTACCACGGGACACTTGGGCTCGGGCTTGTCGTGGAGGACCGGCTGGGGCTCCGTGTGCGGTGGCTTGACACTGATGAGCGCCAGGGCTGCGGCCAGCAGCAGCGACATTGCTATGGCCACATAGCCGGTGGTGTATATCTCTGGCTTGGTGAGGAACATGTTCAGGTACCAGATCAAGTGGCGCGTGCCAGCCATCACGTGGTAGCTGAAGGGCACCATCAAGATGAACTTGAGTGCCGTGAAGGTCACCCCGCCCAGGTTGAGCCCCTCAACCTTCTCAGCCAAGGCATTGATGTCCAGCTTGCACAGTAGCGCTGTCAAGCCAATGATCCACACTGCCAGGCCCAGGGTAGCGCCGCTCGCCCGCAGAAATATGGACATCATCGAGGTTAACTGTTTTCTGTAGATGGTCAAGTGCGGCGAGAGCGCCCGGCCCAGCTTCATGTTCTTCTCGTCGTAGTTCAACTTGTTCTGAACAACCGGCACTATTCGCATCCCCAGCTTACCCGTCGGAGCAGACGGAGGCTTCTTGCTGTCGCCTCCCTTCGCCTTCGAGTAGTGCGCGAGCTGTAATATTGACAGCCTGCCCATGCCGAAGCTTGGCGAGCATCCCAATAGACAAGCATTGGCTACGTGGGCGCAGCGCTTTATTGGTGTGAAAGACTTAAAATATCTGGAAGACTCAACTGATTAACTGGCCCTCCATTCGCATCTGTATTCGCATAGCTACTTACTTGGGGTACATTCTGAAGAACTTAGGAAAAATGTGTGTAAAATCGTAACTTTTGTTATTTTCATGAAAACTTCATGTGTTATATAACAAAGTGTTTAAATACAACTAAAATTTCCATATGCCAGCACGCTGCGATCGGCAAGAAAGACTACATATGTATAACTGGAAAATAATAGAGGCTCTATTGATTATTTTGCATGGCTTGTTGGTAAAGAGAGACATACAAACTAGCCGGAAATAGGTGACTTTATAGTATTCTGAGTCATGTGAGACTGATGTTTGCATGCATGCAAATATACACACATATACCCTAGAATTTAGAAATTTATTGAATAAATACTTAAAAGAAATTATTATACCAAAGCAAACCAAAAGAAATATATCAATATATATTTAATTTTATATATAAATATATTTACAAATATATTTCTATTAATATTTTCTTTAAAAGGAGTTTGCTCACATTTTTTTATTTTTTATTTCCGCGTTAAGCATTAATCATATTGAATTGATAGAAAATTTTGATAAGTCTTTCAGAAAAAAAGTTCTTCCTTTCAAATTTTTTCCCACTGTTCTAATGCCACTTAAACAAACTCCAAGTTGATTAATTTCATTTAAACTAATGTAGCTCGGTTTGCCTCATTCGTAGCTTCAATTTCAGCAACAATTTCGCTGCTGGATGCTGGCTGGCCTGGCAGTCTCTTCATGTAGTGAGACTAGATAATTAAACCAGTTTTTCGGGAGTTTCGGAATTCTCTTAATTGCTATAAGTTACCAATTTCGAGGGAATATCCGAGCCAAACTTTTGCCACATGCCAAGCGCATTATCAAATATTTATGGCACAAATTTTGTTAAGCGTTTCAAATATGCATGAGGGACAGCAAAAAAACAAAAAAACAAAAAGCAAATACCAAAAACAAAAACCCAAAATGAAGCCAACTCCAGCAAACTGAAAAATTTGGTGAAAACACAATGTTGACTTTTCGCAACGCACAGATGTCAGCTTAAGTTTAGTTTTGCCACATATTTGTGTGCACTAAAAGCCTGCAGCCAAATGCTAAAATATGTGTGCGTTTGGCTCGCGTGTTCCCTTTTTATATTCTTTGCGGCATACCCTGTAATTCTGTAGCATTTGCAAGGAATATCAAAATCTGTTTTTGGATTTAATCATATGTCAGACAGAATAAATACCTGAGATATATTTGCAATCCCTGCTGTATAACCAGGTTCTATAACCTGGTTCTATATTTCTCAGCTCTACATATTTGCAGCTCATATGAATCCTCTGTCTACAGGGTATGATCTTTCTGGCTCTGTCATTTCGAGAATTCTGGTTTATTTATTTGATGTTGTGGTTATTCTTTTCCAGTTGAAACGTTTATGACACATTCATTCAGGCGCCAGAAGGCTGTACCAGGGAAAATAACAACTTAAAGAATGTGCAGGGATGCCAGCACTACTTGCCGCACACACACACACACACACACACACATACACACGTGCACAAAGTAAAGTACATGTGTATGACGATGTGTTGCTGCTAACTGACAAAAAGGTTGAGCTCAAATTTAAACATACATAAATATATGAAAAGTTAATTTGAAAAAATCTCTTTTGACAGCGCTCGGAGGGCGGGGCAAGGGTTGTGCCAAAAGGCGCGGATGTGTGTGTGCTGTTGTTGTTGCTGCTGTTTCAGTTACTCCACTTGCTGGTGGTGGTGCTGTTGTTGTTGTTGCCAAGTCACAGTCAGTCACTTGCACGATGCTGTCGAGCTGCAGCTACAGCACAGCCGTCCACAGTAAACGATGAAAAATGTGAAAAAATTGCTCGCACACACACACACACACACACACATACACACTGACATGCTCTGGGACTGGGTGTGAAAGCAGCGAATAGGGGGCTACTGCTGCTACCTGCTGTTTATATAGCCCGGCTACGTGTATAAATAACGGTAACATTTTAAATCAGTCGAGTGACTGCAGGAAACGCCAAAACTGGTGCCAACGCAGCGAAGCTCCTGACAACCCCTATTCCCAGTTACCACCAACCATATACCATCTACCATCTACCATATGCCATATGCCATCTACCAGCCACTAGCTACCCGTCACACGTTACCATTTTCCATTTCCCGGCGTTCAGTTGCCCAGCTCCCCAATTCCCATGCACTGCCAGCTTGCCTTGTTATTCGCCCTGACATTGATGTCCCTGTGTGCGTGTGTGTGTATGTGTGTGTGTGCGTTTGTGTGTACTTGTGCCGTGGCCACAAAATGTTCATTCCTCATACATTTCAGTGTAAAACGTTGCCTTGTCTCTTGCTTCGCATCTTTTGGAGTCTTTTTTTATGATTTTATATTTTGCTGTTTTTCTTTGGCTTCATATTTTGTACAGCATTTATGAAATTTTAACCCATGTTGAGGCCCACTCGCTGATTGCGGCAATTAAATCTTGCCTTACCATCGACTGCTTGATCAAATTTCAATTAAAATCAACTGACCGATGCAATCAGTTGCAATCGAGCATACAGGAAAATATTCGATGGGGTCGTTGGACTCCAATTGATTCCATCTTATTAAGTCTGGTCTGCTCATTAGTAAGAATGTTTCTTAGAAACTTGAACAATTTTTAAATAAATAAATACATGCATATATTATTTATTTAATAATATATTTACTTATATTTAAATTCTATAAAATTATAAACCAACTAGAAATCCAATGCAGCTGCACATGCTCTGCATCTGAGGGGACTTTGTCGCCAGATTTCCAGCTTGAATTTAAAGCACCAGCTAGTTGATTGGCTTAAATTGTGCTGCAAGGTGGAAAATTAGTTTCAGTTTTTGCTTCTTCCAAGCGCTGCCAACTGAGACTGGACCTGGAGCCTTTGCATATACTTCATATGCCATAAAATGTTCAACTCATGTCGTTGTTGTTGATGTTGTTGTTGCTGTTGTGCTAGCCACATTTGAAATGCGATTGCTCCATAATGGAATTACCTGACTGCGACGAATACAGCACAGAACAGAGCGGAGCAGACCAGAGCAGAGCAGAGCAGGAGAACAGCAGTGGCCAGTCCGGCAAAGGACAGAGCAGAAGGCGACTCCAGCCACATTTGGCCTTTGCATATGTCATAAATTTATGCGACGATTGGGTGAGCTTATTTGATTTGATAGCCAGCATTACGGCGGTCTCATTATTAGATTTCCACTTATGATTTCTTTTCGCCTCAGAGCAGCTAATTTAAATATGCATCACTAAAAGCATATCACGAGTCCTGTCCCACTCGCCAGCAGCATTTCGTGTGGCTGGAATTTGATTTGTGGCTGCGTCTTTGCGTTCGTTTGACTAAATAAATACGCACTGTGCCACAGAGCAACGAAATCACACAGCAAATCGGAGAGAGACAGAGTAGAAGACATCGCTTTCATTTCAATTTAATAAAATTCATTTCGGTTGAGTTTCTCTCGTTTTGCTTTTTTTTATATTTTATTTAAATATCATTTGACTGAAGCCTGTCAACCTCATCCGCACAGAGCCATGCAGTGCGTTTGCTGTTTCTAAAAATGCGTAGTACATGTGTATGTATGTGTATATTTTATTTTGTGTAATTTGTCAGCATAATTGAAACCACTTTTGACTTTTTTGGCTGCACACTTTACGCTCAATTAAGAGCTGAAGCGTCAGACACATCAAAGACGAACAATTAATCAATCAATCTGTATGAAAACAGTTTGCAAAAGAAATAAATAAATAATAGAAATACATATATATATTAAGGCCAAATATATTTATATACATTTAAATAGTCTTTCAATCTAATATTTTAATATTCATATTTATAAAGTTCCAATTTTAGATGTAAGCATAAAGGTCATGTTCATATTGAATGAACGAAATTGTAAAGAAAGCTTTGGGAAATAAATGTGTAAAAGGGAGACTGAGGGCGATATAAAGAAAGAGAGAGAGAGAGAGAAGCCTTTTAGCAGCATACAACAGTGTGACCCTTATATGCACACACCACAGCTTCATAATGTGTACGAAGTTTCTTATATGACCGCCCACTCGCCCCGCCCCATCAATTACATTGTGAGTCATAGTCAAGCGATTGCTTCTTCCATTCATGGAGCTCAATATGCGTGTCTGTGTTTAATTAAGATTGAGTTGATGAGTGTGTGTAAGAGTGCGACTGGCTCTGAGTGTGTGTACGTGTGTGTGTGTGTGCGAGTTTATTGAGATCTGCGCGCTGTCACTCACACACACACACACAGACAAAGACAGCCACGAAAAGAGACTGAGAGAGAGAGAGAGAGAGGGAGAGAGAGAGAGTCTAGCATGAATAAATGTATGAGCGCATGCATTTAATTTAATTTTCATTTCAATTGATTCGATGACTTTACGTTTCATTTCACGTCTCGATGCGATTTCAATTACAATTCTCGCACAAACACGTCCAAGGACAAACACTCACCTAGCTGCCATTGAGTTGGCTCGTCAGTGGGCCAAGTTGATTCGCGCGGATTTGCCTGCGTATTTATTTGGCGCAGCGCGAAAACGCGGAAAAGCAGACGAATGCGAGCCGACTCAGGCGATGTACGCACTGATTAAATGGTGAGCAGCCCGTGGGCGGAAGATGTTGGCCACAAGTACGGGCTATAGGTTTTAAGCGTAGAGTGGTTAAATGAAAGCTAAGTTGGTCTCTAATTGATTCTTAAATAAAGACGAAATGAGTAAAGTTTATGCTTGAATGTCTATATACACAACTTTCCTTTAATAAATGCATATTTATCATATTGTTCTTGTTCATCATACTGCCAAATATCCTTGCATCATTCGCATGTTCATCTATTTAATATTTATCATGCTAGACTTGCTTACTTTGCCTTGATCTAGTATAGATTCTCCTCAGCTTCATCTTCCACACTCGCCTGCTTTTCCGCTCAAGACAGGCTTAAAAGTTTAGCCACAACTTTTTGTGGTAAGTGTCGCATCGAACACACACTCAAAGTCCTCCTCTGTCGTCCGCT